GAGTTGCTATCTAATGAGAAAAGACGGATTCACCATCTCTGTGTCTTTGGCCAGACGCGCCAGTCCCCAAACTGGTTCCTTCTCTGAAAGATGGGATGTCAGTGGCTGTAGGAAAAGGTCCCCCGAAGTCTCAAGAGCAGGTGAGTGAAATCTCGGTTTGGGACGGACTCTCCTCTTAGGTGGGTTATCCCCTGGTTCTGTTGCTGACCTGGAGCTTTAGGAGCATTTGTTGGCAGGAAGAACCTCAGGCTGGTGGAGAGGGGGGTGAAAAATACCTGCATACCTGGATGCTGTTGTTCTTGAAAGGTGAAATAAGTGCTGTCCCTGGAAACGTCGAAAGAACAGTGCCAAAGTGAAAGGATGTGTAAACATTTCTTTTGCAGTGCCTAAGGGAGAGCATGTTCTAATTTTTATAAACTGATATCTGTAGAACCCAATGGTAACTTTACAAAAATGCTTCCTAAGAAAATCAACCTCCACTGTGTCTGAAGTCTGTGAGTAGCAAACAAATAATCCCAAATGAGTTTTTCGGAGTGAACTTTTTTCCAGGATAAAATACTCTGAGTAAGTGACAAATGTTCATTCCGTTCTCATTTCTCAGGCATGTTCCCCATTGTGAGAACTGAAGCCATGGCTTCCTAACTACATTACCATGATTTACTATTCCAGGAAACTTTTGCCAGGGACTGGAAATTTGCAAATATCTTTATTGTTTATTTCAGTAATTTCCTCAAAGATCCAACCACTCTTCAGTAGAAAACATCAAAGAACTATTTATATCCCAAGACTTCTTGAACCCTTACCTCAAAACTCTAGCCTTGTTATATCCACCAATCCTAAACTGTTACCCAGTGCTTACCCAATCCTAACCAATCCCCCACATTAAACAGTGGACTTCAAACAGACTTCAACATCTCAATACACAGCCCAACCTTGCTCTTCCTTTTCTGAGATAATACCAAAATTCTGTCATGTTACTGTTCTCCTTTACCTCAGTAAGCAATAAATTTAGTTCTGTCTAATCAATAGGTTGTTTTGATATTTCTGGTAGCTGACATTTGACATTCTAGGAGGACCCTGCAAGACTAAATCAACCTTCGATGCTGCTTCCACAGCCAACACCCTGCAACTCAGAATCAGTGTGTTCCACTGAGGTCCCTTCAACCTCCTCTTCAGGCACTCTCTGACCTCAAAGGTAGGGAAAGTAGATCTTGCATCAGATTGAATTCCAGTTTTTTTTTTTTTTTCTGTTGAGCTTCTCACGTGCTCAGTTTATTTTGTCCCTGCGAGTAAAGAAAGCTTTTTAGGAATCCTTTTGATTGCCTAATCAGATTTTTAAAAACTTTTGTGCTTGTTGAAAATGTTTTATTAGTAGCCACACTACAACTTGTCTCTGTTCTTGTCATTTTTTTGTTGTTGTACTTGTGTAAAAGTTCATAGGGAACAGGCATAGGCTCCCATCAGTCTGTTTCCCATCAAGCTGGCCCTGGAGATGAAGAAGTTCGGAAGGTTTTGTTTCAGACTGATAGGCTGTCCGAAAGAAACACAGCGTGGGATTCTTCACTCGAGCTATCTGAGGCCCAGAATAGCCAGTGTCCCCACCTACCCGGTTGTCCAAAGCAGCAAAGAACAGAGATAGATGGCGGTGGGAGAGGTGGGGAGGAGGTTTAGGTGGGAAGAGGCCTGGTGGATGTGAAAATGAAAGAAACTTATTAGACAGACAGCAGTTCCCTCAAGGCGGGCCACCGTACCCGTGGCCCCACCCCGCGCTTCCCTGCCGGTCTTGCCCTGGGGCGGGCGCGCTCTCCTGGGCTGCTCGCTGCGTCCGCGCTTTCTCCAGCAGGAGCCGAACCTGCGTTGCGCGCCGGATTCGAGTGCCGGTGCTGGCAGCTGGGCAGGCCCCCAGCCTAGATGGTAAGCGCCCAGGGCTCTCCAGCTGGGAGAGGAAGGCGCTGGGCCCCCACCCTGAGGCCTGGCTTAGACCGTGCCGCGCCCTACCCCACGCCCAGGAGGGCCAAGGGACACAGGTTTTATATTTCAGCGGCTGCTTCTGGTTCCACTGTGTGCTGATGGGTTTGGACAAGGCTCAGGGTCAGCCGCGTTTCCTGCCTCTAGAAAACCCGGCTGAGAAAAAAGAAGAGAAAGAAATCACGAGAGGGAAGCGGGAAGTGTGGGGGTTGGCGGGGGGAGGAGGCAGAAAGGCGGCGGTGGGGGAGAGTTGGGGAGAGCGCACAGTGGGGTAGAGAGGAGGCGGTGGGGAAGGAGAGGTTGAGAGAAACGAGAAATTGCAAGGGAGGGCTGTCAGGTGTGCTGGAGGTGGAACCTAGAGCAGGCTTATTGCTTTACCCCTTCACTGCAGAGAGTCAAGCAAGTGCTTTAGCTCAGTAGAACCTTGACTTAAACTCTAAAACAGGGATTAGGAAGGAGCATCGCTAAAGGCACTTCACATGTTGATATAACGTGCTTTAGTCTGGATAAGGGAAACGATGTGGTTGGGGGAAGGAAATTGGGGTATTCATCTCTTGCCCCTTTCCATTGGGATTGCTCGAGTACGTGCTGGTGGACTGCATGTACCTGTTTTCCTTTTTCAGTCTGTGTCTATTAATCACTCCTAAAGCACCTGGGTCCTCTCTCAAACTCCATAAGAGGAGACATCATCGACAGACACAGTGGACCCCCAACTTTTCTTGTTGGGCAATAAGTTCCTGCCTTCAAGGGTCTTACGTTTCCCCCAGGTTCTCTGCTGTTTGCAACGTATCCCTGAGGTAAGTATATTGATATTGATAACAGCAGTAGCAGTAATATTTACTGGGCAACCTGGTATGTTTCAGGCACTGTTCAAAAGGCTGTACGTGCATCACATTTTTTAACTTTCATAACATTGGGGGTGGATTCCAACACTGCTCCCATCTTAGGGTGAGGAAAATGAGGCAGAGTGGATAATTAACATGCCCAAGGTTGTGCAGTTAGTAAGTGGCAACCTATTTGAACTCAGTCATATAAAAACTAACATTGATGTAATTGATGTAACTTTCATATTCATTGTCTCATCTAGAATCAATGCACCTTTTAAAAATAGAAAATAAGACTCAGAGAGGCTAAGGGGGTTTCCTTAGCAGCTCATTACCGGTAAACGAGAAGGTCGAGGCTCCTGCTCCATAATATAAAGGTTCAGAGAATAAACATCGTCTTTAGAAAACTTCCACTTGACAAGAAGTGCAGGGACTGGAGCATAAGTTAAACAAGAATGTGAAGAAGCAACCCAGGAGGTGAAGAGTACAGAACATATCTGTTCTCTTCAATAAATCAAAGCTTTTTTCTAGAATAAAAGAGACTTAAAAGACATAATCAAAGGCAACTTGTGTACCTCAATTGGATCTTGCTGTGAATAAATTAGTATACTGATTATAGAAGAAAAAGTCCTTACTTTTTAGAGATGAAAATTGATAATTAAGTTTAAAATATCATGATGTCTCTAAATGTAAATTAATCTAATAAAATAAAAAGATGATGTCAACTTGCAAAAAATGAATAATGTCTCTACGTGATAAGTATGTAGAGGTTCATTATATTATTCTTTTGTTGTTGTTGTTAGAAAATGTTCATAATAAAAAGCCTCAAAAGTGTACTCTCTGGAGTTTTATGAACTTGAGTAAAAGTTTAACCTTTCCAGATGTTCAAGTCCTTTGTTGGTAAAATGAGACTAATATGAAGGTATTTCCAAGAGTTCATAGAAAGATTCATATTCTTTTTTTTTGGCTGGCCAGTGAGGGGAACCAAACCCTTAACTTTTGTGTTATAATACCACATTCTAACCAACTGAGCTAACTGACCAGCTGGTCATAATATTTTTTAATTCTATTTTTCCATGAACTTTTTGAAGGACCCTTTTAATACCTATCTCATAGGGTTGTAAGAATTACATGAGGTAGTTTATGAAAAGCACCGAGAACTGGGCGTAGTACTTTATATGCCTACTCCATTTATTTATTAAATATATTTTTATAAATATATCTTTATTGAGGGCCTGCCATATGCCAGGCATTGTTTTAGGTATTGTTGGGGTATTAAGGACAGACATGCTGCTGCTGTCCTCAATAGTATTTATCCTTCTAGTGGTTTTTATCACTATTATTCAAATTATTCATTCTCTTCTGGGAAAACATCAAAGGAAAGATAGAGGGAAAAATACCTCTCTACTTTAATTTTCTATTTTAATAGAAAATTAAAGCAGCAACTAAGGTTCCCAACTATCATCCTGGGAAAACTTTCCAAACTTCCAGATTTCTTTATGAAATCTCATTCCAAATTTATTTTGTCTTCATCGATATAACCCAGTTCTTTTCCCATCCATTTCCCTGTAATTTTACCATCCCTTTCCATCTTCAACTTAAGTGGAGACCAGATTTCAACCTCAGTGTAACCATAACACACTTTTGAATTCTCCAACTGCAAACTCTTCTGTAGTGTACTTGTACCTGCTTTTGAATCTCTTTTCTGCCACATAGCTCTGGCTTTGGGCAAATCAGCCACTCTCTCTCTTTTTTTTTTTTTAAAAGATGACCGGTAAGGGGATCTCAACCCTTGACTTGGTGTTGTCAGCACCACACAAACAGGCCATCCCTATATGGGATCCGAACCTGTGGCCTTGGCGTTATCAGCACCGCACTCTCCCGAGTGAGCCACAGGCCGGCCCCAGCCACTCTCTTTAAGTGATAACTTTCCCCATCTGCAAAATGCAGATATACTTACTTTCCACAGTATTTATGGGGATTGGCAGTTAGAGATAAGTTTCACAGTGTTTAGTACAGTGCTCTATAAAAGAGAGCTTTTGTTGTTGGGGTGATTATGGTTGGTGGATAAATTATCTACTTGCTAAATTAACATCTGCAGGGAGAGCGAGGCTAGAGCTAAAGGGAACGGGGTTACATAGGACCCCAGTTAATCTTTTCTTCTGTACAATTAGTGATAGCTGTGAAGTTACTGCTAAATTTTTCAAAATTAGTTTTTCAGCTGAACTGTCTATTCATCTGCAAGCCATCATGAGCTGTAAGAAGCGGAGATCACAGAAGGTCTCATTTGATGAAAAGAGTAATATGAAAATCGAGCACTATTTTTCTCAGGTATGTATGTAAATATTATTTATGGAATATACCAATATTAAATGTAGCTATCTGTATTAGTCAGGGTTCTCCAGAGAGACAGAATCAATAGGATATGTTATAAATATATGAGAGGGGATATATTAGGGGAATTAGCTCATGTGATTGTGAAGAAAAGTCCCAGGACAGGCCATCTGCAAACTGGATGCCAGTAGCATGGCTCAGTCCAAGTCTAAAGGCCTCAAAATCAGGGAAGCTGATGGTGTCCTAAGTGTAAGTCTTGGAACCCAAAAGCTGAAGAGTCTTGAGCTCTGATGTCCGTGGACAGGAGAGGAGAGTGTATCCCAGCTCCAGTGGATAGAGAGAGAGCTTCACCTTTTTTATCGTTTTTTTTTTGTTTGCTCTGGGCCCCCAGTGGATTGGAAGATACCCACCCACACTGAGGGTGGGTATTTCCCATTCAGTCCATTCAGGCTCTCATACTAATCTCTGCTGGAAACACCTTCATGGACACACCTTAAAAGTTAGCTTTACCAAATTTCTTGGCATTCCGTAATCTAATCAAATTGACACCTTGAATTAACCTTCACACCATCCTTGGCACTGGGTTTTATAGTTCTTCCTGCCAAGAAATTACCTCATTGTGTGTTGGAAATACTTTAAAAGTTCAAATCTTTCTCATCCATTTTATTCTTTCTATTTTGGGAGGTGGCAGTTGGAAAGGGAGTTGTAATGCAAATTTCACCTATATTAAAGCAGCCTTTAATAAAAAGCTATTGTAAAACTTCCTGAACAACAACAAAAAGTCAAATGCAATATATTAAACTATGAAATAAAAACAAAATTAATACTATTTCATAGCATGAAAATATATGCCATTCCAAATATAGCTGATCTATCCAATCATAATAATAACTTTCATTTGTATAGTGCTTTACAATTATAAAACAATTTCCTATATATTTATTCTTAGCATAACCTTGTTTGTCAGGCAGGGAGGATTTTATTATCCCCAATTTGTTTATGAGGAAGACAGAAAAGAAATGAGTTGTTGCATAGGCAGGAGGAGCATGAAGACTTGGATTTAAGTTTACCGGCATGAAGTCAGGGCTATTTTTACTAATTGGGCTGTTATTATGTCAAACCATTGTATCCTTTCTGAGTCTAAAATGCTCCTTGAATTTATCAAGGAGGCTGAGAAGTGGCAAGCATTTGGGAATGCAACTTATAATCCTTTCACTTGTTTGCTTTTATCCTGGTTCTAGAAAATTACAACAGTCCAAGTATCTAGAAAAGCCAAGAAAAGCTTGATTCCTTTTTTCCCTGTCCTACTCCATGACAGAATGGGCGAATAACCACATACTATCACTTGCCCCTTTCAAAGCTGTCTGTATCTGCCCAAGAATCGTTTGAATCGGTGGAAGTCCATTACCGTGTTCCAACAGGGTGCATGACAAGGGTATTTCTGATCACATACTATCACTTGCCCCTTTCAAAGCTGTCTGTATCTGCCCAAGAATCATTTGAATCGGTGGAAGTCCATTACCGTGTTCCAACAGGGTGCATGACAAGGGTATTTCTGATAGTATTAAGCTCAAGGAATGCTCTTGGAGAGATGGAATGCATGCCCAGAGTTAATTTATATTATTTTCGGTTCCTTTGACTTATTTTTGACCTGGAGTATTAGTATTATTACAAAGAAGGAAAACAAAAGTTAACCTGTTAGGGGCCAGTCATTGTGTTAGGCATGGCCATGTAACAATATTCTACTTAATCTTTACATCATTCCTGGCATTGTTGTTTGTATTACCAGAAAGCGGCATTGCTGGCACATGAACCTGTATCTCTTGATACCCATGCCATGAGGAATATGATTTGGGAAAAACGTATCTTTTAGACATAGGAATCAGATGCTCTTAATTTTTCATTAAGTTTCTGCTAATTGATTAATTCTTATGTAATCCCCCCATCCTTAGTACTTAAGAAAATGCCCTATAAAAATGGGAATCATGAATATAAGACTTAAAAAAGAGAACATACAGTAGTCCCCCTTTATCCATAGTTTCTATTTCCACAGTTTCTCTTTCCACAGTTTCAGTTACCTGTGATCAACTGCAGTCAGTTATTTTAATTTATGTAATATATTTTGAGAGAAAGACCACATTCACACAACTTTTATTACAGTGTATTATTATAATTATTCTACTTTATTATTAGTTATTATTGTTTATCTCTTACTGTGCCTAATTTATAAATTAGACTTTATTATAGCTATGTATCAGAAAAAACATGCTACTATGTATATAGGGTTCAGTACTATCTGAGGCTTCAGGCATCCACTGGGGGTCCTGGAATGTATCTCTGGTGGATGAGGGGGGACTACTGTATAGTCTAATGGCAAAAATATTGGACTAAGAATTGGAGTTCTGATACTCACTTTATTTACTAGTTTTTATGTTGCCCTGGAAAAGGCACTTAACAAGAAAAACTTTCTGTGCCTCAGTTTCTTCATCGAAAGAACAGATAAGCCATACTTGTTTCTCTTCGTTTCATAGAATTTTGGGTTAATTGGCATAATAGAGGAAACAATTTGAGTTCTTTTCAGTATAGATGCTAGGTGAATGAAAGTATTTGTTATTAGAAAAAACTATACTATTCTGAGCAAATGATTAGTTAACTAATGAAGATTTTGTTTAACATTTAATGCCTGATAATAAATCATGGTAACCTATTCTTGCTGAATTCAGTATTTTAAGAGCAAAATTTTTGGTGCTATCCATCATTATGCTCAGAAAAGGGAAAAATCAGATACTTGAAAATAACAAGCAAGATCTGAAATAACACTATTTCAGATAGAGAGAGCTGGTAAACTTTTTTTTTTTTTTTTGGTTGCTGGCCTGTAAGGGGATCTGAACCTTTGACCTTGGTGTTATAACACTGCACTCTAACTAACGAGCTAGCAGGCCAGCCAAAGCTGATGGACTTTTAAGAGTCTCTGTTTTGATGCATCTAGGAAAACAGTTGTGTTTCTTCCTGCGTATTTCTCAGAAAGATGCACGAGTGTAGTAGTATGACAGGAAACTCAGCTTGTATTTTAGATTCTAAGTCAAACTGATTTAATTTTGTTTGCTAGCCTTTTAAGATTGGTCCTGAGTTTCCCACGGAAATTTGTGAATTGAATACTGAAAAGAGAAACAAAAGACTAGGGCCATATTCAGAGTTTAAAATATCTAGCATTTATTTTTAGGTCCCTAAAGGACAACAGAATAATTCCAATATTCCTCAAAAGAAGAAGGAACCTAGAAAATGTTCAAGAGACATAACTAACACCCAGGGCCAAAGATCCCATTTACCTAAGAAAAATCCAAATGACCCAATTGTGCCCCCAAATAAGACAATTAAAGTTACCCTGGATGTAAACCACAGGAAAACTGGAGACAGGCCATATGTGCTCACACACAGTGAGAAGGACAGCTTGTATGTGGCTCTCAACACTCTTAAGGCTGTCAAAGAAGAGATAAAAACTCAGCAAGGCAAAGAAATGCTGGTGTATGGAGTAGAAGGAATTGAGGGGTATTTAAACCTTGGAATGCCCCTCAGTTGTTTTCCTGAAAGCTGCCACGTGACAGTTACAGTGTGTGGAGTAGAAGGAATCGAAGGGTATTTAAACCTTGGAATGCCCCTCAGTTGTTTTCCTGAAAGCTGCCACGTGACAGTTACATTTTACCAAAGTAAAGATGAGCAGAAAGAAAATAACCAAGTATTTGGCCGGCATGACAAGTCATCTACTGACTGTGTCAAATTTTATATTCACCCAATTGGGAAAAAGATAAAAAGGATTGTTAAATGTGGAAAACTTCACAAAGAAGGGTACAAACTCTGCGTCTATGCTTTCAAAGGAGAAACCATCAAGGACGCTTTGTGCAAGGATGGCAGATTTCTTTCCTTTCTGGAGAGTGATAACTGGAAACTCATTCACAACCTGAACTCCATCGTAGAAAGCACCCAGGCAGTGGATGGATTAGAGGGCAAGACCTTTCAGGTTGAGGTTGAGAAAACAATGGGCCCTAGGGCAGTAGCCCCTCAGAATTCAGAGTCAGAGAAGAGAAACACCTGTGCGTTGAAAGAACAAATTGTGGACCAGTACCCCCGTTTGAGAATAGAAAGTGAAAAAATCAGAGAAAACTTCAAGAAAGAAATGAAGAAAAGAAAGGGGAATGCATTACTTAAATGTTACGAAACAAAGTTTGGGAAACTGATAAAAAATGCTACTCCAGTTAAAGTCATAAAACTTCTCTCACATCTCAGTGACTCAGTTGGGTACATATTCTGGGACAACAATGGAAATAGGGGTGCTGCCACCTGCTTCGTTTTTAGAGAATTGTTCATTTTCACTTGTCGGCATGTAATAAGTGACATTGTGGGAAAAGGAATAGAGTCAAGTCAGTGGGCCGGCATAATCGCTCAATGCGTAAGGGTTACATTTAGTTATGAAGAGCTTCCAGAAAAAGAAGAGAATTGCTTTTTCATTGAACCTTGGTTTGAGATATCTGATGTAGACCTTGACTATGCTGTCCTGAAACTGAAGGAAAATGGACAACCAGTACCTGTGGGACTATATAATGAAATTACTCCTGCACCATCGAGTGGGTTGATATATATTATTGGCCATCCAGATGGAGAAAGAAAGTCTACTGATCGTTGTGCTATCATCCCGCAGGATGAGCGAGAAAAGAAATGTCTGGAACATGTACGGTTTAGAGAAGCGGAGGGCTTCAGTTGGTCTACGCAATATATACATCTGTACACACACAAAGATTTCCAGAAAAAAATCCACAGCCCTGATGTGATTACCTATGACACCACTTTTTTCTTTGGGGCTTCTGGCTCCCCAGTGTTTGATTCAAGAGGTTTGTTGGTGGCCATGCATACTGCTGGCTGCGCTTATAGGCACTTAGAAGGGATTTCCAGTATCATTGAGTTTGGCTGTACTATGGAATCCATCCTCCTTGATATTAAGGAAAAACATAAAATATGGTATAAAGAAGTATGTATATATCAGCAGGATGTAGAAATGGTTAGTGATGAGGATTGAAGACTGGTGAGAATTTAGTCTATTTACTAACTTCAAGGGAATTGTCTACGGAGTTTTTTTCTATAGGCATTGATGATGGTTTTCTAAATTCCAAAATGGTCAATTTCATCAAAACCCAATAATAATTAATATTATTGACCCACTTCCTATATGCCAGGCATGTTTCTAAGCACAAGAAAAATTAGTTCTAACACCTTGGGAGATGGACCATTACCCCTATTTTAAAGTTAGGCAATGATAAGATTAAGTGATAAGTTTTATGACACTAAAAGTCGTGTAACTATTGATTTGTTCATCTTCCATGTCATCCCCTAAATTCAGTTGCTTAAGAACAGGACCCTGAACTTGTTCATCTGATTATCTCCAATATCTGACACATGGAAAATGAGTGCTTAGAAAAATGTGTGGGTCATTCTGGGTATATACCCAAAGGAATGGAAATCATCGTGTTGAAGGGATACCTGCACTCCCACATTCATCACAGCTCTATTTACAATAACCAAGAGTTGGAACAACCTAAATCCATCGTCGGATAACTGGATAAAGAAAATGTGATATATATACACAACAGAATACTACTCAGCCATAAAAAAGAATGAAATTCTGCCATTTGTAGCAGCATGGATGAGGTTGGAGAAAAATATGTTTAGTAAAACAAACCAGGCACAGAAAGAGAAATACTGCATGTCTTCACTCATCTCATAAATGGGAACTAAGAAAAGAAGGAAAGAAAGCAGGCAGGCAGGTCACAATAAAATGTAGAACTTTCAGAAGGAGAGAACAGACCTATAGTTATTAGAGGTGGGAAAGCGGGAGGAGGAGGAGGGGGTTAGGGAGTAATTGGGTAAGGGATACAAAGAGTAATTATGAGTTGTAATGATGAATGTGCTAATAATATTGATTTGATCATCACATACTGTACGCAAATACTGATCGTCAACTCTGTATGCCATAAATATGTATGCTCAAAAGTAAATAAACAACTTTAAAAAAAAATGTGTGGGTCAATCAGTGGCAAAACTTGGGGCTGCAGTTAATGTTAACTAAGGAGCTACATGCTTTCTTACCAGTAATCTCAAACAAAATCTTTTAGAATTTCCAAAATCCTCATATTTCTAAAACTGTCAAAATATATGTGTCCTGAAATTCAGAGGGTAATATCCACTCTTCTCATATTTATATACTATTAGAGATACAGGAGGGATATCTTAAAGATTATATTACGTTATTCAGATTTCCTTTGTTTTTACCTAAAGTCCTCTTTCTGCTCCAAGATCCCATCCATGTTAGACTTAGTTGTCATGTCTCCTTACGCTTTTGTTGGCTGTGACAGTTTCTCAGGCTTTTCTTGTTTTTGATGACCTCGACAGGAAAAGTACTGCTCAGCTATTTTGTTGCTCTGTTGGAATTTGTCTGAGGTTTTTCTCATGGTTAGACTGGGCTACGGGTTTTGGAGAGGAAGATCATAAAAAAGTGTTATTTTCACTTTATATCAAGGTTACAACATGATTTATGATATTAGTGTTGACCTTGATCACCTGTCTGAAGTAGCGTTTGGCAGGTTTCTCCACTGTAAGGTTACTCCCCCCACTTCCACAGTGTAATCTTGGAGGGAAGTCATTATGCACAGCCCACATTTAAGGACTGAGAAGTTATGTTCTCCCTCCTTATGTAGGTACTCCTGGAATATCTACATAATTTACTTGGAATCATTATGGGATATTTGTCTGTCCTTCCCCATTTATTTATTCAGTAATTTATGAATATCAGTATGGACTCGTGGGTACACTTGTACTTTGGGTTATAATCCTCTACTACGTTATTTTCTTGCTCAAATTGTCCTGGCTTTGGCCACTAGGAGCACTTTAGGTTGGGTCTTGTGTTGCTTTGGCATACCCCCACCAGTGTGTTTTGTTTGTTTTCTGAGCACTTCCTTACGTTCTGCCACTACAAGATGCTCCAAGCTTCTCACATATTTCCTGACCCAGCTCTAGAATCAGTTATTTTTGCAAGGAGCCCTGGTTACTTTTAATGGAGCATGGTATTAGAAGCCAAGATCTAGGCACTAGGTGTGCTCGTTGCTATTTTTTT